GCACCACTTATTGCGGACCTGTTTTTGTATTGTTATGAGTTACAATTTATGACTAAAATCCGCAAAGATCCATCGAAACAACATCTGATACAAAACTTTAACAATACTTTTAGATATTTGGATGATATATTGGCTCTCAATAATGACGACTTCAATATGTATACTAAAGAAATTTATCCTGTTGAACTTACTTTAAATAAAGCTAATACTAACAATGACCACTGTCCTTTCCTCGATCTTGATATCTATATCATTAACGGGAAGCTTAATACAAAAATTTATGATAAAAGAGATGATTTTTCATTTCCTATCGTTAATTATCCATTTTTAGATGGTGACGTTCCCTTGTCACCATCTTATGGTGTTTATATATGTCAACTTGTACGATTCGCTCGTGTATGTAACAACGTATTAGATTTTAGCGAGAGAAATTTATGTATTACTGAAAAATTATTACACCAGGGTTTTCGATATCATAAACTAGTCAAAACATTTACTAAATTTTATCATCGGTATAAGGACATCATTCGTAAATATAACTCAACATGCAGACATCTTATACGTTCGGATATTTCACATCCAATCTTTTATGGTTATATTCTTTACAAAGCACAAAAATGTCAGTATTCACCCCAAAGGCTAACAAAACCTTTAAACAGACTTATTAAGAAGGGATATAGTTACGATACTGTTGTCAGGTCATTAAAGATTGCATACTTTGGCTTTGATATTGATTCACTTATAGGGTCTTTGCATCAGAATTAAACACATTTATTCTAAAACCAGTTGTTGGCATGATACGGGTTATGTTCTTCTCATATATTTTATGATGGTATGATACTAAACCCCTAACGGGAGGGATTGCACTTGATTTTCATATGATGAAGACATAATCTTTCAATCAGTTTAATTGAGGTCTGGAGCTGGCATGTCAGTAACTGCTAGTAGTCTGTTGTTATTTATGTATTATTGTCATTTTGTTTATTTTCTTTTGTTTCCTATTCTGACATCGGACTCGGACTTCTCTTATACTGAGTTTTACTGTACGTACTGTTGTGCGTTTGTTTTTTCTACATTGGCTAGAGGTATAGGGGGGGGGGGGGTTGAGATCTCAAAAAACATGTTTAACCCCGCCGCATTTTTGCGCCTGTCCCAAGTCACGAGCCTCTTGCCTTTGTTAGTCTTGTATCATTTTTAGTTTTAGTTTCTTGTGTATAATTTGGAGTTTAGTATGACGTCCATTATCACTGAACTAGTATACATATTTGTTTAGGGGCCAGCTGAAGGACGCCTCCGGGTGCGGGAGTTCCTCGCTGCATTGAAGACCCATTGGTGGCCTTCGGCTGTTGTCTTCTCTATGGTCGGGTTGTTGTCTCTTTGACACATTCCCCATTTCCATTCTCAATTTTAATGATACATAAATTAACAAAGGACTACTAGCAGTTACTGACATGCCAACTCCAGACTTCAATTGAACTGATTGAAAGATTATGTCTTCATCATATGAAAATCAAGCACAATCCGTCCCGTTAGGGGTTTAGTATCATACCATCATAAAATATATGAGAAAAACATAACCGGTATCCTGCCAACAACTGGTATTAGAACAAAATTGTGTTTATTTCCGATACAAAGACCCTATGAGTGAATCAATATTAATACCAAAATATGCCATCTTCAATGACCTGACAACAGTATCGTATTGATTGTTGTTACAAAAAAAATGACCTAAAAGAGTTTGAACATATATATTCACATTCTGACTTTTTAAATGCCCATTTAATTAGGAGTGTGAATTTTTTCTTAATAAGATTATGAGGCAAAGTGGTATATAGGGTAGAAAAATCAAAATTTTGAACAAATTCGAAATCACCAATATAAGCATGCAATTTATCAAGTACTTCCAAAGAATTTTTGACACTCCAAAAGTAATTTATTCCACATTTATGGAATGTGATTTATGTTATAAAGAGTTTACTCAGATCTTAAAAGAATCACTTGTAGACGGATATTTAACATGATTATCTGTAGAGGGATATTTAACATGATAAACTGTAGAGGAATATTTAACATGATAAACTGTAGAGGAATATTTAACATGATAAACTGTAGAGGAATATTTAACATGATAAACTGTAGAGGAATATTCAACATGATAAACTGTAGAGGAATATTTAACATGATAAACTGTAGAGGAATATTTTACATGATAAACTGTAGAGGAATATTTAACATGATAAACTGTAGAGGAATATTTTACATGATAAACTGTAGAGGAATATTTAACATGATAAACTGTTGTATTTTACTGTGAATAATTTTCTTGCTACCTAAATGCATAGAATATATACATTGTACACTGTACAAGTATTTGGTGTCACATAAAATTGCTCAGCATTGTCAGAAGAACTTGATTTTTTTTTAATCTTCCTATAAAATAAAGAGATTTCGAATGATTACAGAGTCCAAATTAAATGACGTGGATTTCAGCAGTTATAGGTCACTGTACAACCTTCAACAATGAGCAATTTCTTGCACTTTTTGTTAAAAACTGATAGTAATATTTGATGAATACCTGAATGACTCCGAAATGTTTAAAAAATAAACAACATACTATAGACATATATATTGAGGACAAACCTATGTATTGTAAAATGAATTTATACTTTTCTTCTGTATCTCAGAAATGATTCCGTGTCTGGGTTTTTATTTACTTTTCCCCGTTTTTGTTTTATCAGTTCTTCAACGTTTGTATTATTAGAGTTGGTGGCGGAGGAAACAAAACGGCAAGAGTGAGGGGGAGCGGAAGGTGTCGCGCGGCCCGACTTTTCCCCAACCACCTTGACCAATAATGTGCCACGGCACCTTGGCTTTTGGCAGATACCGATACGGGACAAAGAAGAAATAAAAAAAAAACATTGGTTGCGGGTACTTATCTGGATGATTCTGCCAGTAGTTATATGCTTGTCTCAAAGATTAAGCCATGCATGTCTAAGTACATACTTTTACATAGTGAAACCGCGAATGGCTCATTAAATCAGTTATGGTTCCCTAGATCGTACAATCCTACTTGGATAACTGTGGTAATTCTAGAGCTAATACATGAAGCACGGCTCTAACTTCGCGGAAAGAGCGCGTTTATTAGATCAAAACCAGTCGGGTTCGCAAGGGCCCGTCGGATTGGTGAGACTGGCTAACTTTGTGCTGATCGCACGGCCTCGCGCCGGCGACGTATCTTTCAAATGTCTGCCCTATCAACTTTCGATGGTACGTGATATGCCTACCATGGTTGTAATGGGTAACGGAGAATCAGGGTTCGATTCCGGAGAGGGAGTATGAGAAACGGCTACCACATCCAAGGAAGGCAGCAGGCGCGCAAATTACCCACTCCTGGCACGGGGAGGTAGTGACGAAAAATAACAATACGGGACTAGCTCTTTCGAGGCCCCGTAATTGGAATGAGTACTCTTTAAACCCTTTAACGAGGATCTATTGGAGGGCAAGTCTGGTGTCAGCAGCCGCGGTAATTCCAGATCCAATAGCGTATATTAAAGTTGTTGCAGTTAAAAAGCTCGTAGTTGGATTTTGGGTCCAGGCTTGCGGTCCGACGCCTGTCGGTTACTGCTCGTCCTGACCTACCTCCCGGTTTTTCTCCATTGGTGTTCTTGACTGAGTGTCTCGGGTGGCCGCAACGTTTACTTTGAAAAAATTAGAGTGTTCAAAGCAGGCAATATCGCCTGAATAATGGTGCATGGAATAATGGAATATGACCTTGGTTCTATTTCGCTGGTTTTCGGAGCTCGAGGTAATGATTAAGAGGGACTGACGGGGTCATTCGTAGTCAAGCTGGCGTTTTTGTCTCAGTCTTCAAATTTCTCGTTTGAATATTTGCTACTACCACCAAGATCTGCACCCGCGGCCGCTCCATCCAGGCTCACACCCCAGACTTCGACGCACACCGCGGTGGCCCTCCTACTCGCCAAAGCTTAGCACCCAGGGTGCTCGTATTGCCTTGACGGTCCGATATAAATACTAAGTTAAAGATGTATTGTTTATATTGAATAAAGTGAGACAGCAAACCAACCACAAAACTAACTAAAAGACATTTAGAGGGCAACATACAGCCTTCTGCAAATAACAAAAAAGAAAAAACATAGAAGATATGAATTTAAACCACTGACTTGTTGGCATGTTGAATATTTGTCTCATTGATATATTCCCCAGTTCTACTTTTTTGTTCATTATCAATCAAACCTGTTAGCCATAGAAACTAGTTGGCAAGGAATTGAAATGGCAAGTAACATTTCATTAAGAGCCTGCTAATTTTCTGGTTAGAATTTATGAAAACTTAAATAACGTAATTAAGACACACCAATTAACAACATTATATTAAGCCGTTTGAAATATGATCTTTTTCGATCTTTTATTACTTTCTTGGTGAGTGTTGATCTTCAGAAATTACCAGTTGTAAATTAAAATTATTATAATTAATGCTATGAAGGTTGGTATGAAAACCAATATGTCAACAAAATAGTTTTTTTTTTAATACCGAAACCAAAAAACTTACAGAAGAAATACATAAGTACAGGCAGTGTTAACTTTGTAACTGGTAATTAAAATTGCCAATGTCAATATATGTTCAGGAAAATAAAAAGAAATTTTGTGTAGAAGAAATAAAATTGTTATTTTAACCATTGATCCCTGTTCTATTTGAGTTATATGTCAGTTTTGATAAATCATTCTCAAAATTTTGATGAACAAGTCAATATATTTGTCAATTAATTCGATAGCAGGTGATTGAAATTTGAGATAGGTTGTCTTTGTATTTTGACAAAGATGTCATAAATGTTTTATGTGTCAATGAAAAAAGAGTTTAAACCAATTTGAAATCAATAAAATGGATTTTTATAAGATATTTTGTGAAAAACCAACAGAATACCAAAATTTTATCAAGAATAACTTGTGTTTCTCATTGTTGTGAAGTTTAAATATTTACGTTTTTATAAATAAATAAGGCTCTTTGTACTTGACAGTACCAGGGTTTGATTATGTGAAAAGGCAATGTTAGTGTGGACAGTTCCTGTTATGACCAAGTAAGTACCTAATCTTCTGGACACTTCACTTATTTTTCTTTTAAAGATTACAAGTTATTGACTTTAAAGGCCCTGTATAAATGCAATTGGCTGACCAAATAATCCACAGTCTTCAAAATTTTATTTTTAGAATCTTAGATTACTTTGAAAAATAATAAACATTTCACTGACATACTAATATTTTATGTACTCAAATATCTCAAAAATATAAAAATCGGTATTTTCCCTAGAGAATAAAGCTAATGGTTTTAAATAAATCTGTTTTGAAAACTAATTATTGTGAGATCAAAGGCATTTTGATATATCACAATCATGTATTCAGGATCAATAAGTCAAAAGATGTTGCCTGTTTGGCATGTAAACAATATGCACAGTAATGACAATGGGATGAATAAATAATAAATGACATACGTCGATAGCAGGTGATTGAAATTTGAGATAGGTTGTCTTTGTATTTTGACAAAGATGTCATAAATGTTTTATGTGTCAATGAAAAAAGAGTCTAAACCAATTTGAAATCAATAAAATGGATTTTTATAAGATATTTTGTGAAAAACCAACAGAATACCAAAATTTTATCAAGAATAACTTGTGTTTCTCATTGTTGTGAAGTTTAAATATTTACGTTTTTATAAATAAATAAGGCTCTTTGTACTTGACAGTACCAGGGTTTGATTATGTGAAAAGGCAATGTTAGTGTGGACAGTTCCTGTTATGACCAAGTAAGTACCTAATCTTCTGGACACTTCACTTATTTTTCTTTTAAAGATTACAAGTTATTGACTTTAAAGGCCAGTAAAAATGCAATTGGCTGAGCAAATAATCCACAGTCTTCAAAATTTTATTTTTAGAATCTTAGATTACTTTGAAAAATAATAAACATTTCACTGACATACTAATATTTTATGTACTCAAATATCTCAAAAATATAAAAATCGGTATTTTCCCTAGAGCGACACAATAAAGCTAATGGTTTTAAATAAATCTGTTTTGAAAACTAATTATTGTGAGATCAAAGGCATTTTGATACATCACAATCATGTATTCAGGATCAATAAGTCAAAAGATGTTGCCTGTTTGGCATGTAAACAATATGCACAGTAATGACAATGGGATGAATAAATAATAAATGACATACGTGCAGGTTGATTTCTACATGATTTTGTGGAAAATAGAATATGAATACTGTAAATTCAGAACTTATTTATGCCAACTGGGTGAGACACACAATAAAAAGAAATCGCGTTCTGATATCTGCTTCATTTATCTGTATGAAGCTTTCCCTGAAATCGCAATAACTTTATCTCGCAATTTTGTTCAATCTTCAAAAACAGCAATAATAAATGCACCCAATAATTTCTAAATTTACAGTACTGGTAATTTTTTTTGTTCAAAATGGTGTTGAAAATAAACTTTAAAAGCTTGATATGGAGTATGGGTTTTACTCATTGTTGAAGGCCTACAGTGACCTACAGTTTTAAACGTGTACATCATTTGGTCTTTGGTGTAGAGTTGTTTCATTGGCAATCACACCACATCTTCTTATTTTTATATTTTCAACTTAGGAGATACAGGATGTGCTAAGTTTGTCCATGTGAATGTAAAAAAATCATGATGTGCAACAAATAGTTTGAATCATACACTTGAAAGCTATTTATATATGATTTATCTCAACTATTTAGTTTTGGGGACAATTTTTAAATAGGGCCAAAGTTTGACCTTAAAATCATCATTTTGTGAAAAAACAAATAACAAGTAACATGTAAGGTCTCTTTTAGCTGACTATATAGTAGGAGTTTTACTCATTGTTGAAGGCTGTACTGCAATCTATAGTTACTTACATCCACATATTTTGGACTTTGGTGGAAAGTTGTTTCATTGGCAATCATACCACTGGTGATTAGTTGTCTCATTGGCAACCATACCTCATCTCCTTATTTTTATCACACCTGACCCAAAGGAGAACACTAAATTGTTGGTGCCTAGGAGATAAATTACACAAGATGACACTGTTAAAACCATTTCAATGGCATTTGAATACAAAATTACCAAGTTGAGCTAAAAACGCAAATTACTCCCTTTCAATTTGATATCAATAATACAAATATAGACAGAAGGCAACATAAAAGACACGTTTCTGTGCTATATATTTAACTCTGCTATTTATGTACAGACTTCTAACATTCTGTTGCTAATAACAGCTCAAGAGTGCTTTCAACTTAGTTAATCTATAATTGCTATTTGAAGTCATGACAAGATTTAGCATAACAGTTTATGCTACAATACTAACTGTCATTTCAGTCACAATAGGGGGATTTTTCATGCTATTTTTAACAACTTTCATAGATGTAATCATCTCTTTATACCTAGATCACGTTGTAATAATGAAATAAATCGAGTCTTAGATTCAGATTGTCTATCATTTCACAAGCTTTAGAATCTGTATGACTGTTGGACATTTCAAGCAAGTTTTGGTTCAGTCAAACATGATTTACAAGGTGTCTACTGTTTGACAGAAATGATCACAAACTAGCAAATGGACCAGAGGTTCAGAAAGACAACTGTAACCTTATAATTTTGTAAAACAATTAAAACTGTAGTTCAAAACTCTTTAGCAAACGTCATTTGAAAACATTTGAACTAGACTTTTACATGTCTGGGCCTTTTATTACCGACTATGCAGTATGAGTTTTTCTCATTGTTTAAGGCCGTATGGTTACCTATAATTGCTTAAATCCACTTCATTTGAACTTTGGTGGATAGTTGTCTCATTGGCAATCATACCACATCTCCTTATTTTTATATTGTCCCATAAATGCCTAGAATGGAATAATAGAAATGCTGATGGTTGTCCATCAGTCTATCAAAAATTGTGGGAACTCAGTGACTGTGTTGTCTAAGTAGTTGAACTACTGTATCACTAGCCTGTCAACTTTGAAATCTTGAGTTCGAACCCTGCATGTGGCAGGTGGGTTCTACTCCAATCTTATTTGATAAGGATTGTCAGTTTTCCTGCAGAAGGTCTGTAGTTCTCTCCAGGTAGTCTTCCTCCACCAAGAAAAACTGACCGCCATGAAATAGCCTTTAGTGCTGAAAGTGATGTTAAACACCAATCAATCAAACAATGGTAAGCATTGTCACGTCTACAGTTCACATCTGATTTTATTTAAAGGCTTACATTAGCAACATCTCTAACTGGTTTCAAATCCACTCAGATAAATCTTTAATGTGGGAGTTTTTCCCCTTGGTAAATCTATTATAGACGAGTCTCGGGTTTTGGGCTGTAGGAATTTTAAGCCCTTGGAAATGCTCTTTCATCAATTTAATGACACTCAACATGAACATGTACTATAAATTTATCGAAATTTAAGTGACAAACACAGGCAAATTCGCCTCCCGTGAATTTCTCTAGAATCTAATATGAAAAAAAATCAGATGTTATTTGAATGATTTATTTTGAAAATTCAAGTGAATTTCACTTGAAGAAATTCATGTTATTTTCACATGAAGAAATTCATGCGAGTGTCACATGAGATTCACGTGAAACTCACAGGAAATCAGTTCATGTGAGTTTCACGTAGAAGCTTGTTTGAGGTGAAATTACCTGTGTAATTCAGTCCTTGCTACCTAAATACATAGAATATACATTGTACACTGTGCAAGTATTTGGTGTCAACATTGCTCAGCATTGTCAGAAGAACTTGGTTCTTTTTAATCTTCCTATAAAATAAAGAAATTTCGAAGGTTTTCCAAGTAGACAACTATCTAACAGAGTCCAAATTAAATGACGTGGATTTCAGCAGTTATGGGTCACTGTACAACCTTCAATAATGAGCAATTTCTTGCATTTTTTAAAAACTGATAGTGATATTTGATTAATTCCTGAATGACTCCGAAATGTTTAAAAAATAAACAACATACTCTAGACAGATATATTGAGGACAAACCTATGTACTGTTAAGGGAGCCACCATTTGATTTTTATGGGGGGGGGGGGGGGGGGGCTAGGATGAAATTTGACAAAAATAGGCAGGACAGGAGTTTTGTGTAAAAAAAAAGGCAGGATGAGATTATTTGCAAAAAGAAAAGGCAGGATGACAATTAAGGCAGGACCAAATAGAGTGAAAAATAAAAAGGCAGGACCGAATAGAGGGAAAATAAAAAAGGCAGGACAAAATTTTTCATCCTAGCCCCCCCAATAAAAAATTAAATGGTAGCTCCCTAAAATGAATTAATGCTTTTCCTCTGTATTTCAGCAATGATTCCGTGTCTGGGTTTTCATTTACTTTTCCCCGTTTTTGTTTTATCAGTTCTTCAACGTTTGTATTAGAGCTTTTTTTTTCAAAATTTGGCCTCGAGCATCACTGAAGAGACTTTTATTGATGAAGCAAAAATTAGTACCGTTAATATACTATTCTGACAGATTTGGTAAATACTTATTTCTTTTACAAAAATTTGCAATGAGAAACTGAAAGAATTTCGTCATGTTTGTTAACCTAAGAAAATGTAATCCGCAGAAATTTTAATTCGGTAGGTCACATTCGAAGAAAGAGGTCGGGATTGTCATTACGATTATTGAACACATCCTTCGTCATCAGTAAAACAGATATTCCATAACGGTCAACCAACTTGTGATGGTGTCCGTAAAACTTAACAGGCAGGAGAATTGTTTTGCAGATACCAATAAAACGGTATCATTTTAGACCCACATTTTGTACCACCTTGATAATGTTATTGATAAAGCATACAATATTCCGCCGTTATAGTGGCAAAATTCAAACATTATATTTTATCTTATGTGTAGTCTTTGGAGCAAAACAATTCATGTTAATATATTTATAAATAAGGTGGTACATACCACTACAGGGAGATAACTCTGTAAAAATCATCTGAAGTTTTAATCACTTTCTACTGTTAATGAAATATTAAGCTTCTCAATGAACAAAATTAGTGTTTGTCAAACTGCTATATATATCCAACAATGAACATTTTCCGATAAAGTGTGTGGTTCTATTTTTTTTTTGAATTTTTATATTTTTATTAAGGAGTCAAAGTTAATATTTTGTCAAAATTTTATGAAAATTAAACGAGCTAAATTAGTTTTAGACAAGGTATTTGGTACCATATTTAATCAGTATATAGTGGGAATTAATCAAAAGATAGAGCAATGCATTATATTAAAACAATTTATTTCAATACAATTAAATGTGTCCATTCTTCCATGCAAAATTGCAATCCATCTTTATTTCTGGAAATAAAACCAAAATGTGGACTTTGATCTATAATGGTTTACTTTTACAAATTGTGACTTGCATGGAGAGTTGACTCATTGGCACTCCTACCACATCTTCTTATATCTATATATTAAGACATCTGAGTTCGTGTGGAACTGTATGAATCATTGAAAGAGAAAGTAACAATTACTTCGGAAGTGCCATCTACTGGATCCGAGCATTGCAGGTCAGTGCGTCACTTAAAGATCTAAAAGAGAGGCGAAAGATACCAGAGGTTTATGCAAACTCATGAGTCGAAAATAAACTGACAACGCCATGGCTAAAAAAGAAAAAGGCCAACTGACAAAAAATAGTACACAAAACACAGCATAGAAAACTAAGGACTGATCAACGAGAGCCCCACCAAAAAATCGGTGTGATCTCATCTGCTCCGGAAGGGTAAGCAGATCCTGCTCCACATGTGGCAACCGTCGTGTTGCTAACAGTCAA